AGCTTTTTGAACTGCCTGCATTGGACGGTGTACTTTGTGTGTTGACCATGTAGTTTCGCTTTCTTTCCCCTCCCGCTCAAATATGCCCAATCCCTATCCTCCTTACAAATTCCTAATAACCTTGTATGCACTATAAGTTTGGCAGCGATCAGTGAAGTTCGCTTCACTGTATTAAGTTGTATCGTAAAGATGGCAGTGATGAAATATTAAAGGTATATATATATATATCATATCTTGGCATAGCTCTTTCACTTAAGGTACGTTACCTTATATGATCTGTTCCCTCCAACTGAGTTTCATCTCAGTCTTTTATTTATTTATTTTTCTACTTTATTATTTAGTGTTTACGCATGTTGGTTTGACACATTGCTAATCGTCACGAGGGTTGTGCAAAAAATCGTCCTTTATTTTTCAGCTTCTGGTTAACACAGCAAAGCTGTAACCTGTACTCCATGAAGACGTTCGATACACATTGCCTTTGTGGTCCTCTGTCAATGCTCGTCGGATGCTAAATGATGCTCTATGTGAACTGTAGTCACCTCCGAGTCCTCATCCACCATTCATTCACTGTTCTTTAATAATATGCTCTCAGTGTAATATGTCGGAGGACATATCAATTCTTGCATCAAGTAGAAGAAAACATTACGGGACAGTTGAGCCGAGTACTGCATGCCGACTAAAGCCTCACAAATTATACCACATATCACCTGGAGACACCCTGGTGTCTATCGCAGTAAAATATGGCACCACTGTAAGTCTTGTCATGTTACTGATTTCTTTCGATTCTCTTCATAGGTGCAACATCTGAAAATGTTGAATCAATTATGGACTACCGATATATCCAGCTTGGAGTGCATAAAAGTCCCGGATGAATCAGCTACCAGTGGTTCTGATATCGGAAGTACCAGCCAGTCTATCGAATTGGCTACTGTCACTACGAAATCGGTATCTCGAAATACTGTGCAGGGAGAGATACTGGGCAGACAGTCCAACCATATTGCTACAGATGAACATCATGAAGTTGACGCATCCGAGTACTTGAAGTCGCTTTTTGAACATGCCCATCGAGCCAAGCAATGTGCATCCGCTGTCCTACAGAATAGCAAGTGAGTTGCAATAAAAGCAAAAGACCTTAGGTCACGTCAACCCTAATAGGGAATTAGCGCAAACCTTGGTGTATCTGCTGGAACAAGAGCGACAAACATTGGTACATAAAAATATTAGCTTTTGACAAAATGTTTTCCATATCATTTAGTCAAAACCAGAATTGCTATTCACTCATGCATAAGTTGGATTTGGGTATTTCCAACTGGTGGGTTTTATTTATTTGATCTGTCAACCAAATAATGCTAATGGCCCTACGGTGAGATGTAACTAAAAAAACTCTTATGTTTGTTACCTTGCTGACAATACAATTAAATCAGCTAGGCATGTGCAAAGTGGTTTGAGATTCGGTGTTTTGAGGGATGCAGGAAGAAAGTGAATTACCGTGGTCAATTGACCGAGTACGATATCTAGCTTCAAATACAGATTTATCCATGCACTTTGATAAGGAACACAGATACAACGGAAATCCAGGGTGTCACGACACGTGTCATGTCACAACTAACTAAACCAGCTGAGTGCAGAACATTCGTAACATGCGACCAGTGCTGACTGATGTTATCGGGTGGGGTTGGTTCTAGCCTTTCAACTGGCGCATTCTGAAAGGCAAGTATGCTGGTTGAGACAGCTTATCACAGTCTAACGGTCTTTGTGTCGTGCGTTTAGAACACCCACCGAAACACATAGACAGGTTGGTGCAAACTAATGCGTGGTCAAATTCGCGGAAGTTCTCCAGTTCGACCGCCATTTGTGACTTATAACAATGTGGTCGATCTGGGGTTTTTCACTAACTCGAATTCGGTGGATCACAAGTGACGTATCCGCAGTTGGAGCGTCTGAAGTTCCTACTGGTGGTGATTAGGCGATGATCAGAATATAGAACCAACAGCCATTCCCCGTTTTCCGAGCGACAGGAATCTGGTCCAAACGAAGCTCCCACCTCACTCGAATTCAGCCGGTTTACTCTAGTATTCATGTATCCTGCTAAAGTCATGATATCAGCCCGATTCGTTTTACGCAAGAGGTCATGTAGTTTTTGGTATGAAGTTTCTTGGACCATATCTGGGCTACAGTTGGTAGATGCGTACGCCGATATGACAGAAGTTTAGTCTATGGGGGTGATGGCTGCTTACTGTGCATGAACCTCTGTGTATCACTGCATGTAACCTATTCTCGACTGGGATTCAATCTAGGAGCGCGATTTTAGCTCTCTCGCTGAGAGCCATGCCAACATCAACAATCCCAGAGGCCGTAGCCTAAGGGTCCCCAGAGAGGTGTAAGTGAAACTCCACGGACGGGTTAAATTTGCCTAGCCTCGGAGAGCATCGATAAAGAAGAAGAGCTTCTGTCGGTACAGAAAGGTTCAGCGAAACTTGAAAGCCCTTCGAGACATGGCGCGAGAGAATAGTGGGCGCGACTAGTACTACTACTACTACTACGATGGTGGAGTTCTGGCCTTTCTACTTGGATAGTTTATTTTTACATTTCCACCAGGATGCTACGTTGACTCGAATCCTCTGTCTGCGGGACGTGGGAGCTGATCTGTTTAACTTCGCTCTATACCGTTGGAGTGATAAAACCCATCATCTGTAGATGGTTGGGTCCCAGGGGTGCACAAGCAATCAAACTGCGTCAAGTGCAGTCTCTTCTTTTTGAAACATGAGAAATAGACTGGGATCACCAGCGAGCTATCCGTTGATCAGGCAATAACTGGATTGTAGTTCGAAAATAGACATTTCGGAAGTGACTGGATTAGACACAGGATATACCATGTGTCCGTCCCTCATTATGTAGCGAACGCAGACAAAGATAGAATAAATCTGTTGTCTGTTTTTTTTGAAGTAAATAACTTTGAGATTCGAACTTTATTCGGAACTGCAGGCGTGTACTTGCGGGGTTTGGAGTAGGTGCATTGAAGACGTTTTGAAGTAGCAATTATTAGAAATTCAAATTAACCTGTAGGAGTTCGTTCGTATACAGATGAATCGGTATTGAGACAAACGCCTTCAATGACGACGACATCGAGACAAGAAAATTGTATGACGCCATAGATTGTAATTCTTATAGGCGAAGAAATGGGAGAAAAGAAAGGATGTGGTAATTGGTGACGAAATCACACCAATGGCAACTCTGAGATCGCCTAGAAACGAGAAATTTCATAGCAACGACTGTGAGTAAGTTCATCAATAAAACATCGATATTGCCACTGTTTATTTCGTTTGACGCGTGTCGCAAAAAGTTAGGGTCTGAATCCCTCACTGTTTAAAATAATGCGTCCCGCTCGCTTGACGACCACCTATTTCTGGAGGGTGCCGGTTCTAGACTAATACCGCAATGTGGCAATATCATTAGCCTGCACAACATTCAAATTCGCTTGATCTTATGACTTAACTTTAGGTTCAAACCCCTGGTTACCAATACAGTGTTTTGTAAACGACGTCAGTGGAAAACTGGTGTTATCTCATTCGATGACGTACAAACTGGTCGGTTGTCCCTAGAATATCTTAAAAAGCCGCTTTTGTTCTGTGCCAGCGGTATTGCCGATGCCGTAAATGCAGAAGCATTCTTAAACTAAGATTTTCCCGGTGGACACTTTTGATTGAAATTTTCATATATCATGGTAGAATCCCCGTCGTATCCCTTCCAAGTTTATTATATGACATTCCAGCCATATCACAGTGTTATGGCTGGGTGTCGCAAACAGTGGCCCTATTGCATCCACTCATTATTCCCCTATCACTATTCTATATGAATTCTCCATCTTTCGCTTGAATTTGCTTTCAACAATCCATTCCTCATTCTGCGCTTTTATCCAAATGGGGCACAGAAAGACAGCAACCAAAACCTGCCCACTAAAGTGCATGGTTAACGATTGTAAAAACTAAACTAAACGAATATGACATTCCAGTAGTTCCTTTTTAGTTGTAAAACCACTAATAGGGTTGCCAATATATTTCGACCACCAGTGACTAAAAATCCCTGAAATGAATAACTAGATTACTTCTCAACTAACGGCGGCACACCATAGATATTCATTAGCTGTCGTATTTTCGCTACCTCACATCAAGTGCTTTGGTCACATTCAGCAACGCTATACAAGCACTCTGTCTGCTGTCGACAAAATATCTAAATTCACGCTACCAGTTTGGTAAAAGTTGATGCTGAGTACCTGGGTCTTCAGCGTATTTATGGACTCTCCTTTGAACTGAGTCGGCAGTAAACCGTCTTGTATGATTAACAGTCAGCCGACAGCTATTCAAAAATTATCTAACTTCGGTTATACCAGTATACAACAAGAAGGGCCGTTGTAAAATACAGTAAACAAACAATTCAAGTATGTCTACTTTGAACGAATGGTTTTGTCCATTCGGTTAATGATAGATGCGTTGCGTTTGGCCATGCTATCCTCAGTATACAATCACTTGATCTCTGAACATTATTTGTGATTCGAGATGACCTTCAACTAGTTATTCATAGTTCTCTAATTCCAAGAGGTAAGGTCAGGTGTTTATACATTTACAGTCCGGAGCACTTGCACTAATTTCGCTGTCGTTCATTGCAGGGCAGCTTTAGACTTTGTCTTCCCATTTAACCGGTTGTGCACGTTCCATTCCTATGCATGCCTACTCTTTCATTACCTTTTTCGAAAAGGTTGTCAGAAATCTTATCAGAGACAGGCCGAAGCTGGAGCTTACAACCACCCGTGCACAGTTCTAGTCTCGATGCAGGACATCCGACAGTTATGGTGGCCAGTCCGTCGTCCGCTTCATTGAATTCCACTTGGATTGATCCGTCCGCCCGCCGTCCTCAGACTTACACCACGCCACCTACCTGGCCCGATCATTGTCAGCTCTAAGTCATCTCCTGTTGTCCTTTGTGATCCACTCGCCACGTCCTTGATTAGATATCTATTATACCGTTTTGCGTTCTTTCATCTGTTCTTGTCAAGATATTTCTCAAACTGAATTTCAAGCCTCCGTTCGTCTCTGTGTTCCCTTGTTTATCCTTGTCCTCTCTCTGTGATATATTTGTGTATTTATTCAAGCTTCCTTCTGTCAAAATTGACCATTTTTGAAGTCAGTCTGTTTTTCTTATAAGATTCTACACCCGGAGCTGGCTCACGATAACTCATTGCATATTAATTCC